CAGAAGCACAAGTGAAGATGTCAGTGTGGGTGAGCTGGTGGTGGAGACCAGCCATCCCATAATCTCTTCCCAGGCACACTGGACGTCCTCATTTCCCAGCCTTCCCTGTGGTCACTTTGGGCTAACTGATGGATATAGCACAGATGATCTCTTCCATTTCCATTCCTTCCCTGTGGAGTATCCAATGATGCCACATCCTGTTCTTCTTCCGTCATTGTCTCCAGGGTACCACAGAACAACAAGATCCAGTATCACTTGGAATCCTGTTAGGAGGTGCTCTACCAAATATCCATTTGAAATGTGATGAGGACAAATGATGAACCTTGGTTGTGTTAAGCCACTTAGAGATGGGAAGTGTTTGTTACAGCAGCAAGCACCCATTGACCCTGACTATTCTCACAGAATTGCAAACAAGAAAATCAAAGGGAGAAAAAAAATGGTTATATACTAAAATATGCTGTAGATTAATCCATTGAGATACTACCTTGTTTCACAACTACAGGGCACTTAGGAGAATGAAAGGTGATTTTATCCTCCTGGAAATTCCTTGGGAAATGGCTCCTGTCTGGGAAATTATAATGCTCCCTCTCCCTGTTGAGTACCCTCTCCAGTGGGAGTTGTGACAGTTTTTCTTTCTTTCTTTTTTTTTTAATGGTCTCCCTAACTTTTTGGTTATGTGACCTTCAGTGAGATTCATGACCACTCTGAGCCTCAGTTGCTTTATCTAAACAGGCTCCTACTTCATGGAGTCATTGTGAAGATCCTACAACATGCAGTCTTGCCAGGATGTGTTAATTTTTCTGGTTTTGTTTTTTGTTCCTAAGGGGCCATTTTCAAGAACCTGCCATTCAGGTCTTTGGAAGGTCAGGCCCACCCAGCTCTGCATCAAAGGGGAAGAGATGATTTTGGTTCCTTTATAAATGATGAGGTCTGGACCAGGCCTCCCCTTCAGGGCTGTGGGCAGGTGGGATTTTGTGACTGTGTGGATTCCTGCAGGGGAGAGCAGATGGGGGTAAGGAAGGCGCTAGATGCCCAAGGGCAGGGGTGGGGACCCAGCAGGAAGAGCCCTGTGTGGCAGCTGGGGGAGGAACTGGCCTGTGCCTGTGCGTCGTGAAACCAGAGGTGAACACACTGGGGATAGAGACTACCTCTGGAACCCAGCAACGAGAATCCCCACCCCAATGCTCCAGGGGCCGTGCGAGTCTGGGGTTGGAGAGAATATCCATGAAGAGGGCTGTTAAAAGAAGTCCACCTGCAACTAAAAAAGAAATACTTTAAAAAAAAGAAGAAGAAGTCATGATTATCTGTTCCTGGGCAGAGAAGTAGGGGTTTTAGAAGACTGTGTATCTCTGGGGAAGGACCACCATGTTTCCGCATGACCCGTCCTCCTGTGGCTGTGTGCCCTGGGAAGAACCATTGAAACTCTATGGGTTTCACTTTCCCCCCCTGAAAACAAAAACAAACAAACAAAAAAAACAGGATCACCTAAACCTGCCCTGTCCTCTCCAAGAAGAGATGATGGCTGGCCAGACTGTGAATACAGAAGACTTCTGTGAACTTTGTTTACCCTGTCACAAAGTACAGCTCCAGCACAGGAGCCTCTAGTTCAGTTTTGGCTAAGAGGGAACTTTCTAGTGTCTAAACTAGGCTTGAGCTGTTTCAGGAGGCGGGGACACCTGGGAGTCTGAGGTGAGGCGTGAGAGGCCACGAGCGCAGGAGTGGACACAGAGCCTCAGGCACTCCAAGGGAGTGTGTTCAGGACAGGAGCCCTCGGAGGAGCTGTGGCCCCGGCCAAGGCCTGCCCTGCGTGGACAGTGCCCACGCTGCTCCTTGGCTATTGGTCTCCCACAGCCTTCACTCCAGGTGGGGTTGTCCCCCCCAGCCTGCAGCATGGGCGCTGGGGGATCCGGGAAGGCAGAGCGCAGACGCGGGAGCGTCTCACGTAATAACTCAGGGCTTCTCCTGCCAGCGAGGCGTCCCATACTCTTCCAAAATGAGAGAATGTGCCTTTTCTTTGCAATATTTTTTTTCCTTTTCCCAATAAAATAATTAAACCGGGATTTCAGGAGGCCTGCCACCCCACCCACCCTGGCTGTCTCTGTGAGGAGTGGAGAAGCTGGGCTGGTCAGGGGGCTTGGCTGGTCACAGAAAGGACAGGGCCTACTGAGAAGGGCGTTGGGGACCCGGAGGGCGCTGGGGAGGGGGCCCGCTGATTGCTCACCACCCCAGATGACATATGACTTAGCACGTCCCAGGTCTCCAGGGCTGCAGCTGCCTGTGAATTTTCGACATGTGTTTGGTATTATCGATGTTTTTACAATAATAACTATGGTCTTGAAAGGGGCTAAAATTAATTAAAATACAGCTCTCTGCCACACTGTACATTATCATCACAGGAACACCCTGCAGGAAAGGCTTTGCTTTGGGGGGTCATATACTCCGTTCCCCTCTCTCTATCTGGGTTGACACCATGGTTGGCTTTCCCTGTGAGCCAGCCCTGCATATTGCAGGAGAGGGAGAGTCTGCAGTCTGAGAGCTTAAACTTCTTCCTTTTCAGGAAATCTTCCTTGCTGTTTGAACTATACTAAGAAGAGCAGCACCAACAGCAGGATGTGTGATTATACTTTACACAGTGACATTGACGAACCCCCACTGGTTCCACATATCAGACTTTGATGCACCTGAGGACCCCTAGCTGGAAGAACCTCTTGGTTCAGAGGTGAACAGTTTGGCCCTGACTTTGGGGCAGGTTCTCAATCTCCAGTTTGCACGTTGACGTTTTGGGGCAGAGCATCCTGGTTGGCGGGCTGTCCTGTCTCTGCAGCATGTTTAGCAGCATCTCTGGCCTCTAACCGCTAAATGCCAGTGGCATCCCCCACGGACCACCCATGCCCCAGATTGCAAAAATCAAAAATGTCCTCAGATGTAGCCAAATATCTCCTGGGAGGCAAAATTGAGAACGGCTGACTCAGGGAAAGAGCCTCTGGAATCCTGCCCACCAGCCTCCATCCCCAGGACCCTCGCTCTCTGCTCCAGGGAAACATCCATGTTGTCATGACGTGGGAGCTGTCACCCTCACCCGTGAGCAAGGAAATAAGTGACTGGCTGTGAATAACTTCCTGAGTTTTGCAAGTGATTCGCTTTCTTAAAACAAACTAGAGTAGGTACCAACACAGCAACACCCCTTTACTCCCTCAAAAGCCAATGTTTTCCCAAGTGGCCAGAGCTGACCATCGCTCCCCCGCCTGTCCCAAGTAGGTCACAGCCCAGATTGGTTAGCCACAATTGTGAGGAGGCCGTGAGTGGAGCGGACTGTGAATTAGTGCCGCATCACCTCTGGGTTTGTCACGAGGCCATGCTGCCCACAGCACCGTTGTCTGTGTGTGTGCTAGGGAGAACCCCCGCCTCCCACATGCTGGGCAAGCGCTGGGTCCCTGGCTACGCCCCAGCCCTGGGTCTGCCGTCCTTGAACTTGACCTGAAGAAGGATCTGGACCCCTGGGGCTCTGTTGCCCTGCTGGCCTCATCCCTTTGCCCCCTGCCACTCACTCTGTGCCCCGCCCCCGTTGTCTCCCCCTGCCCTCTAACATGATTCTGTCTGTGGCTCTTCTCCTGATGTTCTGAGCATGGCTGACACCTCCTCCTCATGTCCCAGCTCAAGGGTCACTAACTCAGAAAGGCTGGGTACCCCGACTTCTAGCTCCCATGATTCCCCCTGCAGTGCCTACCTCCACCATCTTCATGAGCTCTGTTCTCATGGCGCAGGTTGCTACCTAAGATTGTCATGGTTGGTGAAAGAACGAACAAGGTTCATCGTTGGAGAAAATGCCCGTTTATTGAGGAACAGCTCTGCATATTTATAGAGCCAGGGGGTGGTTTGACAGTTATGACAGTTTAACAGTTTAACAGTTTGACAGTTGGCATGGGATGCTTTCTGATTGGTGGGTAAGGATCATGTGAGCCAGCAGGGCTAGTCTGATTGGTGGGCAAGGATCATGTGAGCCAGCAGGGCTAGTCTGATTGATGGGCAAGGATCATGTGAGCCAGCAGGGCTAGTCTGATTGGTGGGCAAGGATCATGTGAGCCAGCAGGGCTAGTCTGATTGGTGGGCAAGGATCATGTGAGCCAGCAGGGCTCACCATTGGACGGCTCTTCTGGGGGATGGGGAAGTAAGTCTTTGGAGGGAGGGGGAACTCCCAACAGTTGGGGTGTTCCCCACCTACCTGTTAGGTCCCCCAGGAAGTTGATGTAGAGGTGGAATTAGAGGTTAATTAGGGAATACAATTTATTAAGGAAAAGAAAAGGAAGCAGGAGAGGTCAGGGTGTTCTCAGAATATGAAGACCTGAAGAGTCTCTGCTGCCCTCTGGAGAAGTCCCTATGGGTAGAAACGGCTTGACCCTTGGACACCACTTTGCTCAGTCACTGACCAGGGCTGCCCCAAGAAGATCAAGACTTTTGCCTGAAAGCTGAAGAGGACCCCAGACACATGTGTGGCTGGAGATTGTCACTTGGCCAGAAAGAGAGTCCTATCTTAATGAGCAGGCAGTTCCGTGCCTGCCCTTGGGGGCTGGGGTGTAGTGCCTCAAGCAGAGACCTTGCGGATCTTTACTGTGGCTGATCCCATTTCCTAGAACAGAGCCTGGTGCCTGGAAGGAGGCCAAATTATATTTATATATATATATATATATATATAT